AAAATATGTCATGAGTTTCCTGACAATCTAACAGAATTCTAGGTTGAAATGTTTTTCTTTCAGTACTTTGTGTTACAGATTTCTGGCTTGCCTAGCTTTTGACAAGAAGTAAAAGTCATTCTTTGCCTGTTTTCCTCTGCTGCTTTTAAGATTTTTTTCTCCTAATCATTAGTTTTCAGCAATTTTATATGACATGTTTGCTATGTTTTATGAGAATATGTGAGTATTTATCCTGCCTGGGATTCGCAAATCTCAAGTCTATGGGTTTACAGAATTCATTAAATCTGGAAAATTGGGGCTAGTAATTCTTCAATAATTCAATTAATTCTCTCTTCCTCTCCTTTTGAAATTCTAACTATATTTATGTTAGGCAAGTTTCCTATAGGACTCTGAAGCTATCTGACTTCAGTGTTTTACTAAACTCTCCGTTTAGCTTGAACAAATTGTTGTGTTGTATATTGAAGTTTACACATCCTTCCTACAGTGTCTAATCTCTTGTTAATCTCATGCAATGAATTTCTCATTTCAAGCATATAGTCATGTTGCTTAATGATAGAGACACGTTCAGAGAAAATGTATTGCCAGGCAATTTCATTTTGTGAACATTCATGAACTACTTACATAAACCTATATGGTACAGTATACTACACACTTAGGCTAAAAAGTATAGCCTATTGCTCATAGGCCACAAACCTTTACAGAACATTATGGTACTTGAATACTACAGGCAATTACAATACAACATTATATATTTGTATATTCAAATGTAGAAAAGGTACAGTATAAAAGCACAGTATAAAATATAGATTAAAAAAATACCTATGTAGGGCGCTCACCATGAAAGGAGTTTACAGGGCAGAAAGTATCAGTGAGTGGCGAGTGAAGGCTTAGTGTATTACTGCTCACTTCTTGCGCACTTTACAAATATTGTATACTAACCTTCGCTTACTGTAATTTTTTAAATTTACAAACTTTTTAACTTTTTATTTCTTCCATGAGTGAGATAGAAATAGCAGCCCCCCCATAGAGTCTTGATACTATGATCTGCTCAGCCTGAAGCCAGCCCCAGATCATAATCATGTCTATGTCCAGCACACTCAGGGAGATACCCAGATGTGAACACAGAACCTTTCCTTGTGAGCCAGCCTTGAAGAACATTGCCTTTTACTGCTGCACCACCATCTTGCCCTCATTTTTTAAAAAACTTTTGAGTCTTTTGTCAAAATAGTTTACAACACAAACACATTGTATAGCTGTAGAAAAATATTCTTTCCTTGTATCTTTACTTTTTAATTATTGATTTATTTTGAGAGAGAAAGGCTGACAGAGGAGGACCAAACAGACAGACAAGCATCTCCAACAGGGTCCTATACCACGATTCACCCCCCCAACCAGAACCAGCATTGATCCTGGATGAGTTTACATATTTGGTATGCACAGAAAAGTCTTGGATTGTGAACACTAGACCTTCTCACATTGGTCCATTCTCACAGAACATTGCATTTCTGCTGTGTTACTTTCTGGCCCCTATAGTCACATACTATAAACTTTTCTCGGTGTTTATTTTTTTGCTTTTTAAACTTTTTTGTTAAAACTAAGATACAAACACACACATTAGCCAATGCCTAAACAGCATCAGAATCATCAATATCATTGTCTTCTATCTCTTCATCTTGCTACTTGAAAGGAACATATGAACAAAACAATACAAAGCTAAATAAAACACATGAGAAAATGCAATCAACAGATACAGAAAGCATGACACTCATATCGTTTCTGCTAGCACAATACGGCATACTGTTTTACAGTAAACTTTTTTCTTTAAAAGACAAATACTCTAAAATAATAATAAAAAGCATAACAGAATAAGTATATAAACCAGTTACATAGACATTTATTGTCATTATCAAATATTAGGTACTGTACTTAACTATACATATTTTTTAAAAAAAAAACTGGTATGGTTTGTTTATACCAGCATCACCACAAACATGTAATGCATTTTACTATAGTATGAGGCCATGTCAATAGGAAAACAGGGATTTTTTTTTTAGCTACAATAGTAATCCATAGAACCACCATCAGATATATAGTTCATCACTGACTGAAATATTATGTGACTCATGAATGTATTCATTCCACTTGACATTTTTCATTCTTGAAAATAGTTGATGTAAATCTTTAACTTCCTTGTCTACTAGTTCTATCATCTGTTATTTCAAGGTCAGTTTCTACTGATTAATCAACTGAATTCCAGACCCTCTTAGTCAGTAGAGACAATTTTCTTGAGTTTTGTCTTATAATTTTTATTACATGTTGGACAATGTAATTATATCATTTAGAGTTCCGATTTTGTGTCTTGTTAATGAGCACTGGGCTTTGTTCTAAATAATTAAGAAATATGCAGATCAGCTTGATCCCTTCAAGGCCTCTTACTGAGTTTCCAAGCGAGTGTCTAGAATTGCCTTCCCTTTGGGGACAGTACAACCTAATGCTAAGGTGCACCTCTAGGGAGCCTCCCAAATTTTTAATTTCTATGTCCTTAAACCAGTGAGACTACTGAGCTCTGCTTAGGTTCTACTCCCTGCATTTGAAGTCCAGCAATTGCCATTAAGGAGAAAGGCAGCGTGAAAAAGAGTTCAGCACTTGTTTCCTCTTTCAGGAATTAAAGTGACTACTCACTTTCCGGTGTTTGAAAATAGTGGATTTTAATATGATGAGGTGTCAGAAAAGTCATGATGCATTTTTGGATAGAAAAAAATACAATGACCCAGTATTTTATCTTGTATTTTAGTTGCTTATTTTTATTTTTCTTTTGCTGCCTACTACAAGTGAAACCCTATATTTTTACATAGTAGGCTGTTTAATGTCTATATACTAAGGCAGCTAAGAAAATTAAAACTGAAATAAAATTGGGAGGTAATGAGATGATGGATTTTGATTAAGGAAAAAAAAGGAAGAAAGAATGAGAATTATAATATTGCTGAGATCACTCACCTCTGACCACCACTAAGCTCTGTTAGGTTTTCTTTCCAGGTATTTCCTAAAGCAACCTTGAATTCCAGACCATCCAAAACAGTTTGCCCCTCTGGTGGTGCAAGCATAGCATTAGCACCCGGCAAAAGAGTAGAAAAAATAGACCCAAAGTCCTTGTTTACCTATATTTGAAAAAAAAAATACTTTTTAAGAAGAATCAATTGTTGATATATGTACACACAACTCAGCAGGTTAATTTTGTCATTTGTTACTCTAACACAGTTGTTGGCAACTACTGCCAATGTGTCAATCTGGTCATATTTACTCGTTTACAAATTACCTATTGCTGCTTGTGCTACAACAAAATCGAATGCTTAAAACAGAAAAAAGATGGCTCACAAAACCAGAAACATTTACTATCTGCTCCTTTTCAAAAATAGTTTACAGAGTCCTACTCTCTCTTTCAGGGGGAACCAGACAGTTCCCCTCTAACTCCTATCCAAAGGTCAATACTTTTGTAGAACATATTACAATACTCCTCAAGATACACAGAACTAAAACACATATTAGGGAACTCTCTAAATTCAAGTGCAGGTATATAAAATTTAAAGGTAAATACACTTTTAATGAATACTTTATATTAACAAAGGAATCATGATACAAGCAGTGCTCTGAATATAGACTTACTAGAGAACACACATTTTAAGAACAACTGCACACCAGCTGAATAGTATCCACACAGTGAAAGCAGGACCTGGTTTTATCAGGTAGAGTCCAGAGCAAGGAAAGGCTCATCACTAAACAGAGAAGGGAATGCTGTATCTTGGGAATGATGGAAGGTAACAAAGTTTTATTATAATCACCCTAAGTTCTTATTCTTTTTGGACAGGCAGAAAGAAGGCGGCTCAAGAATAAGAAAGAGGAATGTTAGTAAACCTTCAAGAACAAAAAACAATTGATCAGTTAATGGCCATAAAAGAATAAGCCCTATAATATATAGCAAAAGAGTTATGCTTATAGAGTGACATAAAGATGAAACACAAAAAAATTTGTAAATACAATGAGGTTATGAAGAAAATAAACAAAAAGAAAAATTTAGATGTGGCCTTGTAGAACAGTGGTTGAGTGCTGTGTATTGGGAGCTGCATATCACACAACTAACCATAATCCTACTAAAGAAATGTACTGGGAACTAATATTTGGCTTCTGTGAGTTTGGGTAAGAGAAAATGAAGATGAGAAAACTAAATGAAGATGAGAAAACTAAACCTAGGAAGGTTTCTAGCTTTAATAATTAGTTTCCACAAATGTGAAACTCAGCCTACTCCTAGTTTCAAGCAGAGGCTGAGTGTCATATTGTATATATTGGACAAAATAGAGTCTTATAAAAAGTAAAGAGGAGAACTAGTGTCCCCTTCGAATATACAAAGACCTGGTAAACAAGCTAAGAGTAAAAAAATGGAGAAAGCCGGGGACCAGCAGGTGGCATGGTGGTAAAGGTGCTGGACACTCCCACACGGCCGATCCCAATTCAAGTCCCGGACCTGGTGGCTTGCTTTCTCAATCCCCGCCCCCCCCCTCTCTGGTCAAATTAAAATAAATGAACAAATAAAAAATTGAATAAATAATTCTAAAAACAAAAATGGAGAAAGCCAGAGAGTGAGAAATTTAAAATAACTTAAGAACCAGAGCAGCAGACCGAGAATATGATTGAGTGACACCAATTTACCTTTGCAATTCAGTAGCAGCTGTCCAAAAAGGCAAAATGCATTTAATAGTCTATGAGGCTTTAATTAAAGTGTGATTAAAACACAAATTACTATTCAAACTCTCCTCAGAATTATAAACCCATTGACAATATTCTTTATTCTTAACTCAGAATAAATAATATTTTGGGGTTCAAATACCTTTTGCCAAGCAATATTTAGGGCTTGGTTTTTCTTCTGATCAAGGTCTTCGATAGTTGCAAGGATTTTGGATTTGTCATTTTCTACAATTCTCTTCTTCTTCATCAAGTCATTATACTGTGGAAAAAACAAATTTAAATTGGGAAAAATAATTTCTTCTATATTTTGTAGTTCAGTTAAAATAAAGAGGTTTCACTACTTTTAAGTACAATACCTATATTCCTATTTACCAAAAAGATATAATGCACTGAGAGTTACAAAGCAAACCAAATTATGAAAAAAAAATTATCCTTATGAATAAAATTCAATTACTAGAATTGAGAATTTATAGGGTAAGTCCTTGAAGTATTTTGACTCCACTAATATTCTCTTATCTTCAAAGTAGCCAAAGCCAAAAAGAAAATGTGTCATATGTAAGATCAAGTAAACATCCTAAAAGTGCTTTTTTTTTTTTTAAGGTCTCAGCAGTGACATAAATAAATTTTCAGCTCTTCATCATGCTATAGATTCCTAATTAAGCTGACCCTTAATCTCTCTGACTTCATGACATCAGATTCCTCCCCAGGTTCTTTTTCAGTTCTTTGAACACGAACTCTTCATTGCCTTCTGGCCCCCCACATTATTTGTTATTTCTTCTTTCTCTGTATCAGACATAACGGGTGTCTCAATTTTATGCTTAAACATCATCCCTTTGGAGTAGCCTTCCTTTGAGAGAGGCTGTAGTGGGATAATTATAGCATGAACAGCAGTGAAACTTTCAAAAACTCTTCCTAACCTATTTCTTCTCCAAGTCTCCCATTTCAAGGTTTCAATTTCTCCCTTAACAATTCCAGTCAGCCTTGCTATCTTCTGGGCTTTTCCTCTCCACATTTCAATCTTATTTCTTGCACAAATCCATGTAATTTCTTATGTAGACAGATACAAAACATAAAAAACAAAAAAGGCCACTGCTGACTAATAACAGAGCCTTCCTCTCTGATAAGAAGATAGGGTTAAGGAATCACTTTAAAAAATATTAGGCCCAATTATCATTATCTAATAAAATTAAATAACTAAAAGGGAACAAGTTTCAGAATGTTATTCAGCTCAAATTCAGACCAAAGGTTTCCTTCCACAAATATATAATGCAGAAGATTTTTTGTTTTGTTCAATTCTTATTTTTATTTTTGAAAATTTTGCTAGAGGGCAATTGTGTTTACCAGAGAAAGTGAGAAAACACTCCCCATGGGGAATGGCCATGCCCATGGGAATGGTCATGCCACAATCCCTCCTCCCTCATTCTTTTTTGGGATTTTGGGTACACATGCACAGGCACCCGGAATGTCTTTCAAGTTACTGAGTCCAGGACTAAAACCATGTAGTCCGGCATATGGATTCCAGCCACTTTTACTACCATGCCACTAGCTGGCTCAGCAACTCTTTAAAGTAGAAATGAAAACTAGCAGGAGCATGTTACAGAGAGATGACAACACCTGAATTATTAGCCTGTTTGATATGTAGCATAAGATACAGTCTTTGTGCACAGTCAATAATAATTTTTTAAAAACCCATTACAACTAAGTTTCTTAAAAGTAATTGAACTTGTTTTTATCAATTTTACAGATATCCCATTAACTCTAATATGTAAATTCAAATAGAATTTTGCAGAATTAAAGACGGTATGGGGCATTAATATAAAATTACTAAGACTACTATTTCTTATGGGGCTCCCAAAAGAGAGGACTGCTGCCTTTACTGGATTCTTATTGACAAGGTCTCCCAGGTTCAACATTAGGTAACTTTCAAATTACCACCTTAGTCTGTAAGAGTTTTTTCAGGGTAGGAAAGGTAGATAACATTATCAACTAATTACGAGCATTAAAAACGAGGATATGTGCCCAGATTTCTAGATTAGAAATGAGAAGAATTTAAACTGGATCCAAGAGTGTTGTTTTTATTTATTACCAAGAATAAGAAAAGAGTTGAGTATGTTTATGACAAAGACCAAAAGGCAGAGACCAAAAGATCAATACCTTTATAGGTATTCAAGGTATAATGAAATATACAAATAATTTATAATACAGTAAGAATAAAATAACAATAAAGAAATGAAGAAAGGAAAAGGAAAGCAGAAAGAAACCTGCCACCAACAAGCAAAAGGCTTGTTCTGATGATTCCATCAGGGTCATACTGAGTCAACAATGCCACGCCTATTCGGATATGGCCAGATATTCACAGGAAAGGGACTTACCCGCTCTTCAGCTTCTGTCAGAACATTCATAGCTCTCATATTGACATTTCTTCCTAGTTTCTCCTTCATTTCTTGCAACTTCTGAAGTCTCTGACCAGCTTCTTTTGGGTTATTAGTTTTGAAGTCATAGGCACTATTGGGTTGGCCAAACAGGTGTTTCTCTGCGTTAATCCAGTCATAATCTTTCAACATTTTAGATACCTAGCCATATACGAAAATAGAAAGGAATACATACGATTGTTTATAAATCAGCATTTAAAAACCAGTTTCTTATTTTAAATCAATTATTTCGAGAGAAAGACTACAGTGACTCATTGAAAAAGATGAAGTTCACTGCTGATAAATATGAGGATATTTTTACCTGGAGCAAAGGCTCAAGAAACAAGAGGAGATACATAGATAGAAAAACATCTACCATTTAAATATTAAAATAGAAGCCATCTTACACAAAACTTTTTATAAAACATATGTAAACTAGCTTCATTAGAATGAAATGTAAATGATATAAGGCTCCTTCAGATTTTTCAATCCATTGCTTCAAAACACAATATGGGTGTAAAACTTTTTTTATAAATACTCATGTCATAGATTTAGTGAAATCACTAAAGCCTAATCTAGACAGATTTTTCTCTCAGAAGGAAGACAATTAAACCAAAATGTTGACTGTATTTCTGCTCCTACCAAGCCTAATCTAGACAGATTTTTCTCTCAGAAGAAAGACAACTGAACCAAAATGTTGACTGTATTTCTGTTCCTACCCTCTTAACATGACACAGTACAATACTTCTTCATATAATACAAATTAAAAAATTATAGTGTGCAGAGACTTTCTTCTACTAAAAGTATTTAAAGTTCCTTCTGACTGATAGAATCAAATACCTGTCGAATTGTTAACCCTTACTAATTAAATGGGTATGGCCTCACCACTAGGCCTCCAAGTAAAATGATCATTTCGAGCCTCTTCTCTGCTGCCTATAAGCTCACGGAAAGCTTTCTGTGTGTTGCTCATCCTTGTATCTTCACTACTGTCACAGTATCTGGCACTAACAGGTATATAGTAAATACAGTAAATAATTGAAAAAAACAAAGAATCTCTGACTTTTCAGAAGTTCTAATGGCAGTTCCCCTTTTTTCTGTCCTCAATAGCAAAAAAAATCCCCTAGCAATCACCAATATAAGCATTTTTAACTACCAAAAAAAAAAAATACTATTGATAGTAATATTGGCATTGGTAATATCTTGGTTGAGCCTATTAACACTAAGCTACAAGGCTAATGAGAAATCAATAGAAATAAAATAAAATAGATTATAACGTGGCCATAAAAAAATATCTTTCAAACCAAGTAATGAACCTAAACAGGCTTCCATGGTTCTTTCAGAGGTTGGGAATACTGTCTTGTAGGTTACCGATGTTAATATTTTTCCATTCTTTGGATGTTAAAAAAGAACTTGGGTATTAAACAGGCACCAACCTGTGATTATACATAGAAAACAATAGATGAACTGGCTAGTGGCATGGTGGTTAAGGGTGCTGAATTCCCACATGGCCAATGGTGGTTCAAGTCCCAGACCTGGCAGCTTGCTTTTTCCCTTTTTCTCTCTCTTTCACTCTATCCCTCTCATCAAATAAAAATAAACAAATAAAGTCCAATAAAATAATTCCTTAAGAAAAAAAATAAAAAAAGACTACATGGATGCAGACTCTCAACCAAACAATGAATTTCTACAAAAGCATGTATTCTCTTTAGGGTAACTTTAAAATAACATCGCAAGGGACCAGCAGTTAGTGTAATGGCTATGTCGTTGGACTCCCATGTAGTCAACCACGGTTCGCGTCCCGGACCTGGTGGCTTAAAATTCATGCCGGGTTGGTGTGCGTGCATGCCCAAGATCCCAAGAGAACAGAGAAGGGATTGCAGCGTGGTCATTCCTCCTGGAGTGTGATATCTCGCTTTCTGTCTCTCTGTCTCTGTCTGGCGAGGGCATGCGCCCTATAGCAAAAACCTCTCCAGAATAAATATATAAATAAATAACATTGCAATACACAGAATGGATTTTAAGAATAACTGAAAAATAGTGGGATGACATTGAAAAAGGTTGCCTGGCAAAAATCGATTTTTAAAAATAAATTTATTTGATTTCATTATTATTTTTAAATTTGGTATAGGGCACGTGTGCTCTCCAGAGACAGAAAGAGAGAAGGAAATTGACAAAGCAGCCTGCCAAGTCCGGGACTCAAACGGTCCCCTAAAGCAGCCTGCCAAGTCCGGGACTCAAACGGCGGTCCCCCATGTGGGAGCCCAGCACCTTAACCAGTGTACCACCAGCTGGCCCTAAAAAGCAGATTTTTCACAAAGTTACAAATTTTATCTCCTTTCCTCATAAGGCCATCAAGAAGCCAAATACATTTCTTTGAGTTCTTCAAACTCAAATTGAAATAAGGTAAAGACTATTTTATTATCACTAACACTCATTAATTAGGTTCTATCAACATTTGGAGATTAAAAGGTTATTTCCATGGAAGATCACCAAACACATGGTAAATACCAAGTGAAGATGGAAACAAATATCTGAAATTAAATTTAGAAATAAGACATTTGTGCCACTTGTTGGAAAACGAGCATTGTTGAGTGGTTATTACAGCTGTAAACTCAAAATTACTTTAGGCTATAGTTTTGCCACTTGTACTGAGTTCTTCATTGAGCAATGGTTAACTAAGTTTCCAAAGTCCAGAAACAAAAGTTTGATTCTTATAGTTTGATTATTTTAAAAAATGAACACAAAGTTGCCTTTGCTGCAGCATCTTCAGTTTCGCGTTTATGTTTGCTGATGTTGTGATCTAACTCCTTAATTTTGAGCTGAGAATCATTGTTTTGCTCCTTATGTTTTGCCACTTCTGCATATTTAGCTTTAATTATATTGTCTTGGGCTATTATCACTTCTTTTTGCTTGGCCACCTCTTCTTGAGCTTTATTTGCTGATTCCTGAAACAATAAATGAGAAGAAATACATAGTTAACGTACCATGTAAATAAATACTTTGTTTCTTAAAAGACTGTCTGATAAACTTCTCTGCAAGGTAACAATATAGGGTGAGGATCATCTAACCCTCAATACTTTTTATCTCCATTAAAATGACTAATGAATTTATACATAATAGAAAACTTGGAGCACCACTGAAAAAAGGGGGGATGAGAGGGTTAGGGTATAATGTTCGTGCCAGAAGTAACAAGGGCTGCTGGATAAAGAGTAAATGGGAGCACCTGGGTAGTAGGAGGAAGAACTGTTAGAGACTCATCTGTGAGCACTCTCAGAAAAGTGGCAATTTGAAGGAGACAATTCCAAAATAATCTGATAGGCCCCCATATGACATTTATGCAAGAAGGGCAAAGATCAGGAGTAGAAGTAAGGAGACTGGGTTCAGCTCCTTTCCTTTTTTATGGATGTAAGGCATCTGGATCTCACCAGTGACAATAAAAGGTCATAGCATTTGGTTCTAGCATAGGGTCCAAACAGAAATGAAAGGAGAGAATGTTTTTTTGAAGTAACAGATCTGTGGCACTTTTTTTTTTTTAATTGCCAGAGTGTTTACACACTCAATTTTTTTTTTTTTTTTTTAATTGCCAGATTGTTTACACACTCACCAGAGAGATGTAAAACAGACGGAGAGTGAGAGAGAGGCAGAAAGCACTTCCCAATGGGGCATGGTCACACCAAATCCCTTCTCCTCAATTTCTCCATCCTGTTGGGATTTGGGGTATGCATGCACATATGCCACAGTATTTTTCAAGCACCAGGCTGGGATTTGAATCATAGTTGGCCATGTGGGATCTGACTCCTTTAACCACTCAGCCGCAGGCCAACCCACAAAGAAACTTGATCTTTTTACCTCCTAAAAGCAAAGCTACTAAACCTCCAAAGTGTTAATTACACTTGGGATTTAGTCTTTTATCAACAATGCCCAAAACCTCTTTGTTTTACCTTGGATTTTAAAAGTCTTTCTGATAAAGATATGGTTACAAATTCCCACAGATGTCTTAAGAAGAATTTAAATTTAACTCACATTTAAGTTGGGGAAGAAACAAACAAGGTTAAAAATAAAGAAGTAGAAAAACTGCCTAGAAGACTCTAAGGAAGAGTAATCTGTATAAATAACTGTAAGTACCAGTATAAATTTAGGTATTATTTTAGGTATGCTAATCAGGAAACAAGATAATTTTAAGTAGTAAACAATCTTCCATATTATGGCTTGGTTGTTGAATCTACCCAAAGTGCTTTAATTTCCAAATAATGTGTAATTTGTGTCATTAAAATCCTTTGCAGGAGCAAGATAAATAATGGCATTGATTTAAAAAAAAGATATTTTAGCTTTTTAAAACTTTTGAAGAACAATAAAAATATTCTAGTGATATTAACTAACGAGTAAAATGATAGATAGGTTTGTCAACTAAAATATGTATGACAAACATGTTTTTAAAGAAGATTCTAACATACCTAGATGTTAAATATTGTGTTTGTGACTACTAATCATTTTTACACTGGTAGAAAAATACGTAAGAAATCTACCACTTAAGATTGAACAGAAAAAGTTTTAGTCTTGTTTATCTCAAGCTGATTAGTTAAACAGTTTTCTTTTTTTCCCTTTTCTTTGGCTATAGGGCATGTATAGTCACTGGACAGAGACAGAGACAGAGACGGAGAGAAAGTGAAAAATCACCCCCCAGAAGAATGGTCATGCCACAATCCCTTCTCCATTCTCTTGGGGTTTGGGATGTGCACACACACATGCTGGCATGTTTTCAAGCCACCAGGTCCAGGACTCAAGCCACACCCCACCTGCTGGCCCCAGCAATCTCTTTTCTTAGCTTTTTGAGTGTACTTATCTACTCCTACAGACAAAAGGAAATTATTTAGAATGTAGAGCCTGAATGACAACTTTTAAAAAATGAAATGATCCATGGGGCCAGCAGATGGCACAGCGGCCAGGGGGCCAGCAGATGGCACAGCGGCGTGGCCACACACCCACGGCTGGGAGTGATTTCAGTTTTCCTCACTATCTGTCTTTCTCTCTCTCCAGGGAGAGCTACAAACAAACAAAAAGAAAAGGAAGTGATCCAGAAAGAGATGAGAGTCGCCAATACCCATGAAAGATAGCATCTAATAGAGACAATACCACAACATTCATTTGTAGGTAACAGAATGTCTACATAACATTTGAAACTCTCTCAGCCCCAAAACCACTGTTCACTGTTTTGTTTTTGATAATGAAACATGTCACTGTCCTGCTTCTGATAATGAACGTTATCCCTTGCCATTTCCAACAATATTAAGCCTTGTGAGTAGAGCGGCTGTAGAGACACTATAAAGGTGTAGCAGGCATTTCATTTTTGGGGGAGAGGTTTTTGCTATAGGGCGCGTGTGCTCGCCTGAGAGAGACAGAGAGATAGAAAGCGAGAAATCACTCCCCCAGGGGCGATGGCCACGCTGCAATCCCATCTCCTCCATTCTCCTCTCAAAATCTTGGGCACGCACGCACATGTGCCCGGCATGAGTTTAAGCAACCGGGTCCGGGACTTGAACTGTGGCTGACCACATGGGAGTTCAGTGACAAAGCCATTACGCTAACTGCTGGTCCCAGGGGCATTTCTTGAAGGCAGGCTTGTCACGCACAGGTGCTCACAACCTGCGTGGCTTTCTTGGTATCCCAGTGTTGGGCTTCTCGTGATCCCAGGTTGGACACTACCCAATGGTCAGTATCTCCTGGAATCCCGGAGAGGTATTCCCCAGCAGGTGATACACTCTCAGTACTTCCTTAGGATCAGCTTCTCTTGAACCCATAAACTTCATCACCAGTGGACCAGTTCAGCCTCCTGCAATTAGGTTGGTTCTCAGCCCTGATGGATAAAGCACAGAGCTTTGCCAGATTTATTCCTTCGCTGGGTGCACTTCCTTGGCCCTAGTATAACGGCTATTTCATGTATCTCTTGATTCTGTATTCTTTGGAGTTTTCTTTACGCTTGGTGATCAATCAATTTCTATCATTCTAAACTCTAATTATAGTTAACATTTCTTACTTAAACTTTGCTTGTTAAAATTACTATGTGGTTTTGTTTTCTGACCCAAGACTAACACAATTATTTCAGGACTCTTTAGACAGTAATCATCATTCTTGCTTCATGTTTTTACCAAGAGTGAAAATGAAAAGACCAAGAGTATTAGAGTAAAACATGTTAACCCAACATTTCATAAGTAGACCATTTAAAAATTCTCCAACAACAACAACAAAAAAATTAATTGTCAGAGGATGTATGTACTTTCCAGAGACAGAGAAAAATTGTAAGAGAGAGAAAAAGTATCCTCCAATGAGGTATGGTTGTGCCACAATCCTTTTTCCTCCTTTTCTCCATCCTGTCAGGATTTGGGGCATGTGTATACATGTACCCAGCTTGATTTCAAGCTACTGGGGTTGTAATTCGAATTGCGGTTTGGCCAACTCAAATTTGATAAATAATTCTTACCTTATTTTTAGCCACCTCAGCTGCCATCACTTCAATCTGACCTTCATAGGATTTGATAGCTTCATTTACAGCTTCGAGCTGTTGTTTATAAGATATATGCTCTCTCCTGAGCTCTTCCAACTCCAGAGTGATTGCTTCAACTTCCTATAAGAAACACAATATCCGAAGATTCACAGCTTTTAACTACTGAAAAGTTAATATTTACGGGACAACAAAATAATGTTCTCATGCAAGTAGATCCTACACCTAAGTTACCACTCAACTACTAGCATTATATGTTAAGCAACTTACCGGGAAAAGTGAGAAAATAGTTTATTATTTTAAATAACAACAACAAAAATATTCACAGGTATGTATAATTTGTATGGCTTTGATGAACTTTGCACAAGTGTACTTTTCTTTTTAAACAAAACTGCTCAATTGGCAAACAGGTAGGTTCTCAAATTCCTTTCCCATTATAGCCTTTAAAATTAGGGAAAAACAGTTATATTCACAGAAGGTATGTACATTCACAAAAGAGGGAGGGAGATGAAGAGAGAGAGAGAAAGACCCTCCTAATGGGGCATGGTCATACCGTAATCCTTTTTCTTTCATTAACTTCTTCCTGTCAGATTTGGGGTACATGTGTACATGCACTTACAATGGTTAGCAAGCTACCAGGCTAGGATGTGAACTTTGAGTAGCCACGTGGGATCTAGCTGCCAATGCACAACACTTAACCACTGTATTATGGGGCTGGCCCTCCTATTATACTTTTAGTCCATTAGAAAAACATGTGTACAGTCTATAGACATATTACCCCGAAGATGTCCAATCTTTTTTAATTTCAGAAGCTAAGCTGCTTGAATGAGAGAAAATGCTTTGTACAAACATAGCTGTATTCCATGTAATAATAGAATTTTAGGCTAAAAAAAGAACTGTGGAGAGTATTAGATGAAATTGTAAAGACAATGGTTAAGAGCCATTGGAGACAAACTTGGGTTCAAATTCAATCTTGGGCACAATTCAAAACATAAAAGGTTAACACCGATCTGCCACTGAACACTGAGGCCTTGTAAATACAATGCATTATCTTATATTCTCATAACGTACATTCTCATAGGTGGTTACCAAACTGAAGTGTCAACTCATTGAATGTCTGATATAACACAGCTCCACATTATATAATCCAGTCCCGAAGGAAGATCCACTCCTACAGAAAGCATTTGCCTAAAAGGCATCCTCACTCT